AAAGAATATACGATTCGAAAGAATGACATATATTTAAAAAGATCTCATTAGGATAAAAGAATGAGTTTCGATAAAAATGAAGATTGATTGGCATATGTGAGGTCCAGTAAAAAAAAGTTGTGCGCCGTGTGATTGATTTTCATGAGAGCTATTGAGAGAGTTGAAAAGAAATGTTTTTCCCAAACCCTTCAATTAAGTCGGTTTTACTTGGCTAACAAGCGTGAGTAAGCAATGATTGTGGTGGAAAGAGAGAGAGAAAGAGAGAGAGAGAGAGAGAGAGAGAGAGAGAGAGAGAGAATTTCGCAGTAGACCCTGGAGTTTCACAGCATCCCAGCAATATCGTATCCCAGGTGATTCCGATGGCCTCGGTCTCTTGCGTTACACTTTTGCCACGCCCTGATCAGAGCGCGCTTGGCAGGCGCATCGCGAAAGTGAAACGCAATAAAGGAGCCACGCCGTGCCGCCGCAGCCCGCGAGTATATTGTATATATATATATATACACAGAGCGACGGTTTATATGTTTCGCGATGCGATCGATCTTCACGATTATGCTGTGTGGATGCTGCATGGAGCTCCGACTCGTTTTTCTCCCACGTCCTTACGAACCACATTAAATTTCACAACTCTCCTACTATCTTGTTCTCTTCTTAACATTTGTATTTGTCGTTTTCTCCGCTATTTAGTTCTCACCATCCTTTTTCCGCATCATCCTTCCGCGAATCACTTTTTTTTTTCTCTCTCATTTCCTAATCGGAGAAAGTATTTTCCTTTATTTTCTATTTTTTTTTTGTTTTTGCAATTTTACTTTCATTCAAGTTTATTTCTTTCTTTTTTCAAATTATTTATTATAGTTTTCACTCGTTTATTCGAATTTTCAGATAGTATAATTTTAAAGAACTAGGTTTCGCATAATTTTATTTCTTTTTCAAATTGTTTAGACAGTTTTAAGGGGATTTTTCAGAAATAGTTTTTTCTTCTTTTAAAGAACTAGGTTCTGCAGAATTTCTTCTTCAAATGGTTCATATAGTTTTAAATCGTTTTTACTGGAATTTAAAGTTTTCAATAGTTATCTTATTTTAATGAACTAGGTTCTGCAAAATTTTCTTTCTTTTTTAAATGATTCATATAGTTTTCAATCGTATTTTTAAATAGATTTTTTAGATATAGTTTTCTTCTTTTAAAGAACTAGGTTCTGCAGAATTTCTTTTTCAAATGGTTCATATAGTTTTAAATCGTTTTTTACCGGAATTTAAAGTTTTCAATAGTTATCTTATTTTAATGAACTAGGTTCTGCAAAATTTTCTTTCTTTTTTAAATGATTCATATAGTTTTCAATCGTATTTTTAAATAGATTTTTTAGAAATAGTTTTCTTTTAAAGAACTAGGTTCTGCAAAATTTTCTTTCTTTCTTTTTTAAATGATTCATATGGTTTTCAATCGTATTTTTAAGGGGATTTTTCAGAAATAGTTTTTTTTTAAAGAACTAGGTTCTGCAGAATTTCTTCTTTAAAAGGTTCATATAGTTTTAAATCGTATTTTTATCGGAATTTTAAAGTTATCTTATTTTAAAGAACTAGGTTCTGCAAAATTTTCTTTCTTTCTTTTTTAAATGATTCATATGGTTTTCAATCGTATTTTTAAGGGGATTTTTCAGAAATAGTTTTCTTCTTTTAAAGAACTAGGTTCTGCAGAATTTCTTCTTCAAATGGTTCATATAGTTTTAAATCGTTTTTTTACCGAAATTTTAAATTTTCAATAGTTATCTTATTTTAATGAACTAGGTTCTGCAAAATTTTCTTTCTTTTTTAAATAGTTCATATAGTTTTTCAATCGTATTTTTATGGGTATTTTAAAGAAATTTTTTCTTCTTGAAAAACTAGGTTCTTTAGAATTTTAATGAATTTTTTTCTCAAAAATTTTGTGATTTATGATTAATCCAATGTAACATAATTATTTATTATTTTAAATTAATAAAATTATTAAAGAAAATAAAACCTGTAATTGTAAATAAATTATACGATTATTAATAATTAAATTCTAATAATTATTAATTTAAAAAAAGAGACTCTTTTAATTAACTAATTTCTTTTACCAAAATCGCATAAAGATTTTATTGAAATATGAAATTATCAATATTTTTCCAATCGATTGTAAATATTCATTAAAAAATTTTAAATATACCTTCTTTTCTCTTATCTCTATATGAATATTCTGATCAAATGTTTCTCGAAGTTCAGAAATGAAATATTTTTAGTGGCACATAAAAGGTTGCAGATGACCGAGATTCTTTTTTTTTAAAAAAAAACAACAACTTAACGTATATTTTATGAATGCTACATTAATATTTATATCATTTGAATTTTTTAAATGTATTATATTGATATACATTTATAATTTTTTTACTGCCATTCGAATGACCACTTTACGATTCTACGCTACTGTTTCAAATGATCATTTCAGCTAATGAAATGGTTATTTCGACCATTAAATTGTTGGAGGCATATATTACAAAGTATCCATTGGTAACTATTAATTTTTAGTGAGGTCACACACAGAGTCGTAAAAAAATTTTAAAAGAAACTCTTCATATATATATATATACATATCAAGCAAGATTAATTGAAATGATTATATTAACGACGAAATGAATTTGAAAAAAAATTGAATATCTTTGCTGAAAAGTTTATTCATTAATTGCAGAATTTTTTTTTTTTCATTATTAGTGTAAATAAAGTTTATTTTGATTCAAATAAATATTTATTTAATAATACTCAAGATTATCAAATAATTTTTTCGGTAATTTAAAAATAGTTTTAAAAATGTGAGAAAAAAAAAGTATAGTGAAATAGAGGAAAATATTTTAAAGGAAATTGCCAAGCATAGTTGTTGGCCTAAAGTTTCCAGCATCTTTCCCCCCGGCGTTAGAAAGTGAGATCAATTCCTTAGTATCGTGGAGCGGAAGACGTTTATATTATTAAATCGTTCGTCTTTCAGTATCGATATAGGCGAGAATTTATCGAGCGATCGTAGAGAAATGAGCGAAAGAGAGAGGAAACGAAACGCACGGTTGAGTTTTAATATGCGGCTTTGGATTCTGCGTTGCGCGCCTCTCTTTTTTTGCAAAGAAGTTGACTTGAGTTCCGGTACCATTTTTTTTTTTTTTTTTTTCCCCTCTCTTTTGTAAACGGGAAACTCGTCCTATGTGTAAACTCGACATGCAAGTGCCGCGATCTTCCATTCACTGGGTGTATATACGCGCTCTCCTCGTTCGATAAAACCAATTTTTATCGGGGCAATCAGATCTGCGAAATTACTACTTCTTTCGGATACCGGGTTACGTCTCATGGAGGAAAGTAGTTTTGTAATTTACCTCGTTAGCTTCCCATTTTTCCTCTCTCTCTTTCTCTTTCTTTTTTTCCCTCTCTTTCAATTTATATATATGTACTTCATTACGCGAAAGTTCTGATAAAACGAAAGCCTCAACTTCTTTTTTATTTATTAATCCTTTTTTTTTTCTTTTACTTCATTACGAACTCTAATTACTAATATGTTTTCAATAATGTACACGCACCCATCTATAAAAATGCAATCCAACAAAATTCACGATTCACAATGTTCATTAGGATATGAAAAATATTTCGTTCATTAAGGGAAATTAAAAAAAATTTATAAATACTGAAAAATTCATGTTGAGAATAAAAATACAACAATAATTCATTGAGAATATAAACATATATATTGATGATTCATAGGGATTATAAATCGGTTATTGCTGTATTTTAAGAAATTTTAATTCTGATAATAATTAATGTTTAAATTGATTTAACGAGATGTGGTAATAAAAAATATTTTTAATTAGAGAATAAAATTTTTATTGCAAACTAAGTGGGATTTTTAATATGGAAACATATATATGTGGTGAAATGGTGACAGCATTGGGATCAGATATTAATAATTTTTGCCAGAAATTAAAAAATAGAATCTCAATAATAGAAACATTAGTATTAGTCATTTGAGAGAAAAATACAGTAGAATCTCGATAATTGAATTAATTGTGCATTTTAAGTGTTTTGAGAGAATTTTGTTTTAGTAAACTTTTAAGTCGCACACTTTCCCTGGAAACAATGAGACGAAAAATTGGAAGTTCATCTATTTTAAATATCACTTTTTTGTTTTTTTTTTTTTGTATAGTGTCAAAACTTTCGTTAAATTTCCGAACGATTTCTAATCGATCAATTATCGATAGTCTCTTCCGCAGTCTTGATTGCCCAGTGAATTGTTGATTGTTCGTTGATTCTTAAATTCACTTTCTAGGTCGTAAAATTGACAACACAGTTGTATATTTCCTGCCGGAACGAATTGACCACCTCTTTATGTTCTCATTTCTTTTTTTGTTATTTTCCCTCTCTCGACTAGTTTTGTATTATTTTATTCATTGCGGTGACTAGCGATATCGAAACCGCGAAAAAAGCAGACTCGACGATTACGACAGAGAGGATACCACGAATAGTTTTGTCTCTCTTGTTTCAAAGAACTATTTCAAATCGCACGAATAACTTTTTCTTATCTCTTTCGTTTTAATTTTCCCTTCTCCATTTCATTGTTATTTTTTTTTAGTTTTTTTTTTTTTTTTATTGCAGAATAATTTTGTAATGCAGTGAGTGTTAAAAGTTGGATAAAAAAAATAATTTTTAATTTAAATTTTGAACAATTGTTTTTTTTTTTATTTAAAATGTAATTCCTTTTCTGACTGTAATTAAAAGTTTAATATTTTTTTGTAAATTAAAGTTAAAAGAAAAAACAAATATAAATAATTATTTCCTTGAACTAGAGAATTTTTTTAATATATAATTCCTTTTTTTTAGGTATTTATTTGCTACCGATATATTTTTAATCGAACAAAATGTTTAGTTAGTCTAATAATTGTAAAATATTTTACATAAATTTTCTATAAATTATTATAGACCATTATTTCTCTTTTTATCAATAATTTTTGGCTTAACAAATAAAATATTTTTTGTAACTAACAAAAAAAAAAAAAAATTTTGTTCTTAAAAATATTTTTTACTTTAAATAGAAATAGAAAAAATATTCTCAGTTCAAGAAATAAAAATATATTGTTAACTAAAAGTATTGAGTGTGTGACCAAAAATGATTATTTTAATCATCTCAAGAAATTTTGTTTAATAAAAAAAAAAAAAGGAAAATATTTTTCTGATTGTGAGTGAATCAGACGAGGAGCTTCCTGCTTGATTTTATCATCACTCTCGGCTCAAATATAATATTAAAAGAAAAGGATTATCATCTACCTAATCTAATCGGTCAACGAATATGTCTACAATAATTCGCTTTCAGAGTTGGCAGAAACTGCTATATATTTATCGCACTTCCTCTTTTCTTCATCTCTAAAAACAGGTACAGCCTTCAAAAGGTATCTCTGGCACCACCTTTCACCAAACTTCCGGCCTTGGAGCACCTCAGATTAGTCTTGGAATCCCTTCTCCACACTCCAAAAAAAAAGAAAAAAAAAATTATATTTTCTTCACTTATTTTAACATCTTCATCGTTGTTGCTTTATATCATCAATTAATTGCATTACAACCAATATTATCCGTTGCATCAAATATTCTTCTTATCAATATATCATTTATATATTACTTTTACACAAATTTCTTGTTCATTAAATGATATCAATTTCTTTATCGTTCGATTAATTGCTTTACATACTGATTTTTTTCATTTTTTTCTTTGATACATCATTTGAAAGAAATGGATTTTTGTTTTTTTCTTATATAGCCATATTGATGTAAAGTAATTTTACATCAATTTTGTAATCTGTTTTTAATCGGATCTTATCAATTTTGCTGATTGCTGTTCATTTATTATTGATTTGATATAGTTAATGATTCACATCAATTTTTCGATTTAATTTTCAAATTTTTACTTTCCATTGATTCAAAATCTGTTTCCATTAATTGCTGATTTTTACTATGCATTAATTGATGATTCTTTAGAATTCATTAATCATCCAAAAATTGCACATCCAGATCTGTATTCTTTTCTGTATCATCCATTTTTCTAAAGATCTGTATTCTTTTCTGTATCATCCATTTTTCTAAAGATCTCTATTATTTTCTAATTGATGATGCATTTTATGATCTTCTATCTCTAATGTACACGAAATTTCTTTATTAAATTAATTTACAGCAATTATCAGTTCATTATTAGCAGTTTTCAATTTTTTATTACCCAATTTTATATATCACCAATTAATTGCTCATCCATTTCTTTACTCCATTATACACATGATGATTTTCACTATATCCATTAATTTACTCTTTGTATATCCAATTGTACATTAATTTCCTTAATCTTTAATTGATTTACATAATTTTCATTATCACCCATTGCTTTAATTTATCAACTTATTTTCATGATGAATTCCATTTCATCGAAACTAATTTACTTAAAGTGGCAAATTTCACAAGGGCAATTAATTTGCCTATAATGTATACAGCATTGAATCTTGTCAAATTAATAACAGAATTCAATTGTTTAACCGAATACAGATTTCTTTAAGCTTCATTCCGTTTTGTGTGATGATCAAGTATTGTTCCCAGGTGATAAAGGTGGTGACGTAGTTTCCCTTTGCTCCTCGTGAACACTCTCGGGTCTACTAGCGCTGCTGCTCGACCTTGAACTCAAATTGTCCCTATCACTAAAATAGGAGGAATCGCCTCTCTTCTCTTCCATTTGTAATTGTTTATCATTACGAAAATCTTCACCGGTGGGTCCTAGGAGACTTGGAAAATAGGGTATCCCTTGTCGTTGGGATGTGATTTTACCCATGAAACTTCTTATTTCTTCAAAATACGAGTCATCAGTTCTTGGTAATTGTCCATGATACCTTGATCTAACCTCATCAAGTATCGTTGGTCCATCGGCGTCGTGTTTCTTGAGATGACGATCAAGATTTGTTTGTTGGCCAAAGCACCTCTCGCACAGGGGACACTTGAAGGGTTTCTCCTTGTTGTGAATATTTCTCACGTGACGTTGCAAATTACTTGAAATGCTGAAGGAACGCTCGCAATATTTACATTTGTACGGCTGTTCGCCAGTGTGAGTTCTGAGATGTCTAGTGAGATTGGCGGATCTTGGAAAAACTTTGCCGCAAAATTTACAGGAATATCGATCTTTTGGTTTGAGACCCGTTGTAACGGCCATGGTATAAGGAGGAAGGGTAGAACTTTGCTGTGGTGGCTGTTGATTTGTTGTTGTTGTTGTATTTTGCTGTGGAGCCGGAGGTGGACTTGGTGCTCTGGCGGGTGCTTGAGATGTACCGGAAGTGACTGAGGAGAATCGATTTGGCGGTAGGGGGACCATTGTTGGTAGGGCACGAACTTGAATTTTGGGCAAATCAGGAGTGGTATGATGATGAGATCTGTACATGGCCTCAAGGACCAAGGGATGAACTGCATGATGTTGGGGAAAAAGAACAGTATGATATGGTAGGCCGAGGCTATTTTGGTTCATCACTTCAACTTCATTTTGGTTTTCGTCTCTTATTCTCTCCTTTTTATGATCAACACGAAGATCCAATGGCTCGGAATCGAGTTCATGTTGATGGGGTAATGGAGGCCTTGCTGCCGGACTCATATGAGGTTGTTGATTAAGAGTGGGACTTGCTCGACTTTGGCCATGGCTCAAGTCGTATGGCAACTCTTCAACGTCCGAAATTCGAACGCTCAATGGATATATGCTCGCTTGTTTTGGACTAATGTGCCCGGGCATTTTTCTTGGGCTAGAGTCTTTTTCTCGCATGGCTGGTGGGTATTTAGGGTCGTGCAGCAATGGGGACAGGGTGCTTCTGCCAAAGTATCCGCTCATCACACCGTCTCTGTCGCCCACGACCTTGCTCCTCTCAATATGATCACCTGCAACAAGAATGAACATTGTTTTTTATATTTTTTTAAATTCTTATTTTTATTGTATATTAAGTAATTCAAAATTATCGTTTGGAGACATATTATTATTCAATTTTGAAGTTAAATGTGTTTTGTACTGATTGGAACTGGTTAATTACTGGTTATAACTAGTTCGGTACACGTTAAAAAATAGCCTATTTTGGTTTTTAAACTGCTTTGTACGGAATGTAGCTGGTTAATTGTGCCTCAATATTGGTCGGAACTCATTTATAACTGTTTAAAACTAGTTTGTACATGTTGGAACTAGTTCATTACTGGTTAAAACTAGTTCGGTACTAGTTAAAAATAGCCTATTTTGGTTTTTAAACTGCTTTGTACGGAATGCAGCTGGTTAATTGTGCCTCAATATTGGTCGGAACTCATTTAGAACTGTTTAAAACTAGTTTGTACATGTTGGAACTAGTTCATTACTGGTTAAAAACTAGCTCGATACTAGTTAAAAATAGCCTATTTCGGTTTTAAACTGCTTTGTACGGAATTGTGCCTCAGTATTGCTTGGAACTCATTTAGAACTGTTTAAAACTAGTTTGTACATGTTGGAACTAGTTCATTACTGGTTAAAACTAGTTCGGTAATAATTAAAAATAGCCTATTTCGGTTTTAAACTGCTTTGTACGGAATGTAGCTGGTTAATTGTGCCTCAGTATTGATTGGAACTCATTTAGAACTGTTTAAAACTAGTTTGTACATGTTGGAACTAGTTCATTACAAGTTAAAACTAGTTCGTTACCGGTTAAAACTGGTTTATATTTGCTTTGTTCGGATTGTAACTGCTTAATTGTATATTAGTATTGGTTGAATCTCATTTAGGACTCTTTAAAACTAATTTAAACATGTTGGAACTAGTTTATTACTGGTTAAAATTACTTTAAGACTTGCTGAAACTTGTTGATACTGATTGAATTTTGTTAATACTGGACCGAAATTGACAAAAACTGATCCAGTACTGTTTTATACTTGTTTGTACTTATTGGAACTAGTTTATTACTGGTTAAAACTATTTCAGATTTGTTTGAAACTTGTTTTTATTGATTGGAACTAATTAAATAATAGGTAGAAACTGGTTTAAATTTGTTTCTACTTATTGGAACTAGTTTATTACTGGTTGAAACTATTTCAGATTTGTTTGAAACTTGTTTTTATTGATTTGGACTAATTAAATAATAGGTAGAAACTGGTTTAAATTTGTTTCTTCTTATTGGAACTAGTTTATTACTGGTTGAAACTATTTCAGATTTGTTTGAAACTTGTTTTTATTGATTGGAACTAGTTAAATAATAGGTAGAAACTGGTTTAAATTTGTTTATTAATTTCCAAAACTGGTTGAAACTAATTTAGAAGTAGTTAGGTACTAGTTAAGTAACTGTTTTGTACACATTCAAACTAGTTCAGTACTTGTTAAAATTGGTTTAGTGTAGATTAATATATATATGGAGAGAATAATTGAAATTATTTCAGATTGAAACTAATTCAATACTAGTTGGAACTAGTTTGGTACTAATTGAAATTGAGTTTTACTAAGCGAAACTATTTCATTATTGTTTGAAACTTGTTTAGAAATGAAAGAATATCTTATTCCATATTTATTTGATGATTTGAGTGATCTAACGCCCAAATTGACGCTTTTAAGTCATAAAAATGACATAAATATGTACATACGGATTATGATTTTCAGTTGATGGAACTGACCAATTATTTGAAATGCTTGACACTTTTAACGCCTCGGGCAATGTATATGTAACAGTCCTCATATATAGTTTTATATTTTATTCGAATGCAAATTTTTTTCTGAAAGAAATTTATAACTCATAATCAGTTTAGTAATATTAGCCAATTGATTCTGTAGTTATCTGCAAATGGTTGTTAAATAATTTTTTTTTAAAAATATTTCTCGTTTATAATATATATATATATTTTAATATTCAAATTATTTATTTATAACGTGAATTGTAAAAATATTTTAAACTTATGTCAAATGAATTTTGAAATTGGATTAGATTTTCGAAACTACACTATATACTTTTTTTTATATAAAGTAGAAGTTTTAAAATTTAAATCAGTTTTGAAATATATATTTGATGGATGATGAAGAAAATGAAATTAAGGCAAAAAAAAAAAAAAAGAATGAAACTTATTAAGGGGAATAAAAAGAAAGTACATTTTTTGGGGAAAAAATATAATTTATGCAAAAAAGCTATACGAGCATCTCTTATGTGCTCTCATATGTCAGAGGAGTTATAATATAAAAGGGAGATTATCTTAACGTGAAATCGATGTGTGTGGCATTGAAGTCTCCGCTCGTTTCTTACCAAGCGTTGATGTCTCTGTAATTCTCTTATACATACATATATATAATATAGATGAATATAGCACCTGGTTTTAAGGCAAAAAAAAAAATCCCATTACCGAGAGTGCTACATTTTTTTTACCAGCCATATTTATATAATGCGTATATATAGTTATTATGCACTTATATACTTAAATTTACATTATTTAAAAATTACTATTTATATTCATATGCTTATAATCATATTTGTATTTACGACGAATATTTTTATTTATCGGTCACATAAAATTAAATACATAAATTAAAAAAAATTTTTTTTATGAAATTTTTAAAAATTAATAATATTTTAATTATATTTAAAAAATACGATGTAGTTTTAAAATTCAAATAATGTGGGTGATTTTTGTTTTAATACATGATTCATTTTTTAATCGATAATGGTGCGTGTTCAATAAAGAAGAACCGTTTTCTATTGATATAAAAATAACGGAAAAGAGGGACCAAATTTTAGTAAAAAAAAAAACATGTTTAAAAAAAAGGGGAACAATAAAAGAAAATTAGGGACCTTTTTAAGACGAATAAAATAATCAACCTTGAAATTGATTTTAGTTTTTTTTTTATATATATATATATGATGAAAAAAATGCGGATTATTTTCTCACGATTTGGATGAGGTTTTCGAAATCGAAGTAGAGTAGATATATAATTGGATGTGTGGCACGTGTAATGGGCAATGAGGTGCACTCCTTGCGCATAAAGAAGAGTATCAATTTTTCAATTTACTGGTAATGTCGTCATATAATGAGGAGAAGGTAAAGCGTCGCTTTTTTTTCTCCTTTATTATTATGAAAAGCCACTTTATCAAGTTGAAAGTCAGCTGTCGTAAGAGGATGAGCTTCCTTTATTTTATATAAATATAGTCTATATGGGGCATTCCACGTGAAATTTTCATATTTATTTTTTTCGAAATATTTATAAGCATTTTGCTTTTTTTTTAAATATTTCAAAAAACAAATAACGCAGAGAAAAATAAATTTTTAATGTAAATCTCACGTTGAATGCTCCATATTGATTGTATATTGTTAAACCGGTTATATTTCGTCAGCCCTTCGTTAAACAACAGTAGGATAAGACTCTATATACGTATATTGACTATTTTGTTTTATAATGTCCGCGCGCGCTGAGAGTCAGCAATCCGTTTGCAGGAGTGGTCGTTGTACCGTTGCTCTCTGCTCCAGTTAGAGGATGCTGGATCCTCTCTCGCGTGTTACTGCTTCTCTCTCTCTCTTTCTCTCTCGCTCCTTCTCTCTTGCAGATGAAAGAGAAATTTTCTCTTTAACTCGGCAAAAAACAAAAAGAGAAAAAAAAAAAAAAAAAAAAACTACTGCGACCGTAAGAAATGCGAGCAGGCGATATTCTGGGCGCGGACACGCAACTCGCTTGATGGATTTTATTTATTGCCTGCCGAGACATAGTTGAAAATGAGACAAGTCTTTTTTATCGTGTCATTTTTCTTTCGTCACACTGCTCGAGTGAAAAAACTACTGTTAGTGGGAATTTTTAGACCTTTTTTTTTATTCCCCTTTTTATAAGTATATTTACGGTTTTGTATTGATTTTATACGTTTTAATTTATAGTTTACTTTATTGAATTTTTCTATTTAATTTTATATTTAAATACTCTAAATTTGAATTAGTCATTAATTCAAATTAGTTAAAAATTTTTTTACCAAATTCAAAAGAAAGAATATTTAAATTGTCTAAAAAAAAAAATATTTGATTTAAATAATCTTATTTTATTTATTTTCACAAAGCATAAAAATATTATATTATCAGACAGTAACTATTTTATTTTAGTGATAATTTACCATACAGATTGTTATTTATTTCATTCTAATTTTACTCGATTCACGATATTAAAACTTGAATATTAACTTCAAGTTTAAATATATCTTTTAATAATATTCAATCTGTCAGAGTTAATATTATCAAACATTATTCTTCATTTAAATATTAATATATTACAATATTTTTATCTCGTTTTTCATTTTTCTTAATACATTGTATACATATATATTTCTTGAATTTTCAAAATGTTTTACAATTTTATGAGCTTTTTATATTTATATATATAGCTCTTTATAGTTTTTGTTATACATTTTTCTTGATATAATCGTTTATCGTTTATTTTATTCAGGATAATAATTATTTTCCTTTAATGAATTTTTTACGGATAATTTAGCCTTTGATAAATTTTATATATATGTATCTATTTTACTTTTATTAATTTTTTAAAATTTTATCAATTTTTTTAATATCATAATTGTTAATGTCACATTTTGAATGACAATATTTTTTTATTAATGCCATTTAACAAGATTTATATGTCCGTTTTATAATTTTATTAGACGTTTAACGTCTATAATGCCGTAACACATTGTAATACAGAATTTCGATAGGTTTTAATGAATTTGGATGTTATATATATAAAATATTCAGAAGATTTGAATATATAATACTTTTTGATTTTTATTAATCTCAATTCTCAAGTGGGTTGCACACTTTTAAAATATATATAATTTCTCCGCTACTCGTTGTGAACATATATATATACATACTTTACTTTTCATCCCATTTTCGACTTTTATTACTTAATTACCATA